GGTAAAATTTTGTAAGGAGATACTGATTTTGCAATTAAGCTCCGCCCCCTGGCTCACGATAAATAAGAAAAATCATCACAATCGAGGTGGGGTGGGTGGGTGGTGATCTCTTTTGACTTTTGTTCCTTTCTTAATATTCGTAATCTTCTGTCTACAACAAGAAGCTTAAAGCATGGTCAAAATGATGAATTTTCGTAGAGAAATATATTCTAAAAAAGGCAAAATATAAGCCCCGCCCACCCGTCCTCGTCTCAATTCGGATTAATTTTTCATTCCTTGTCAGATCGAGGGGCGGAGCGTAAAAGCAAAATCTATATTTGCTTAAAAAACTACCAATTTGATAAAGTTTTAAGTCTTTGGTTGTGAAAAAAAATCTACGTACGGTAAGAAAAACAAGACAAAATGCAGGCCCTGGCCACCCGCCCTATCTCAACTGTGATGATTCTTTTTACTATTTTTCTTATATTTTGCCTTTTTTTTAGTAGACGTAATTTTCTTTCATAACAAGAAACTGAAAACAAGTTTCAAATGGTAAAATTTTGTAGGGAAATACTGACTTTGCAATTAAGCTCCGCCCTCCGGCTCACGACGATTAAAAAAATCGCCACAATCGAGGCGGGGTGGGTGGGCGGGGCTTATCTTATGGTCTCTCTTTCTTTCTTAATATTCGTAATCCTCGGTCTGCAACAAAAAACTTAAAACATGGGCAAAATGGTAAATTTTCGAAGAGCAATACATATATTAAAAGAAACGGCAAAATACCACCAATTTTCGACCAATTTTCAACAAAATTTTCGAAATTTCACTAAATACATTATCTTGTTGATTTAGGGCCCCAGAAGTCATATCCGCTATCATTTCTTCGATAAATCCAATGGTTTTTCCAGAATCGTCTTTTGAAATATGTAAAAATATGCAAAATACCACCAATTTTCGACCAATTTTCAACAAAATTTTCGAAATTTCACTAAATACATATTCTTGTAGATTTAGGGCAGCAGAAGTCATATCCGCTTTCATTTCTTCGGTAACTCCAATGGTTTTTCCAGAATCGTCCTTTGAAATATATAAAAATTTGCAAAATACCACCCATTTTCGACCAATTTTCAAAGAAATTTTCGAAATTTTACTAAATACATTTTCTTGCAGATTTAGGGCCGCAGAAGTCATATCCGCTTTCATTTCTTCGATAACTCCGATGGTGTTTCCACAATCGTCCTTTGAAATATATAAAAATATGCAAAATACCACCCATTTTCGACCAATTTTCAACGAAATTTTCGAAATTTCACTAAATAGATTTTCTTGTAGATTTAGGGCCGCGAGAAGTCATATCCGCTTTCATTGCTTCGATAAATCCAATGGTTTTTCCAGAATCGTCCTTTTAAATATATAAAAATATGCAAAATACCACCCATTTTCGACCAATTTTCAACGAAGTTTTCGAAATTTCACTAAATAGATTTTCTTGTAGATTTAGGGCCGCAGAAGTCATATCCGCCTTCATTGCTTCGATAAATCCAATGGTTTTTCCAGAATCGTCCTTTTAAATATATAAAAATATGCAAAATACCACCAATTTTCGACCACTTTTCAACGAAATTTTCGAAATTTCACTAAATAGATTTTCTTGTAGATTTAGGGCCGCAGAAGTCATATTCGCTTTCATTACATCGATAAATTCAGTGGTTTTTCCAGAATCGTCCTCTGAAATATATAAAAATATGCAAAATACCACCAATTTTCGACCAATTTTCAACAAAATTTTCGAAACTTCACTAAATACATTTTCTTGTAGATTTAGGGCCGCAGAAGTCATATCCGCTTTCATTTCTTCGATAACACCAAAGGTTTTTCCAGAATCGTCCTTTGAAATATATAAGAATATGCAAAATACCACCAATTTTCGACCAATATTCAACAAAATTTACGAAATTTCACTAAATACATTTTCTTGCAGATTTGGGGCCGCAGAAGTCATATCCCTTTTCATTGCTTCGATAAATCCAATGGTTTTTCCAGAATCGTCCTTTGAAATATATAAAACTATGCAAAATACTAACAATTTTCGACCAATTTTCAACAAAATTTTTGAAATTTCAAAAAATACATTTTCTTGTATATTTCGAGCCGCTGAAGTGATTTCCGCTTTCATTTCTTCGGTACCTCCAATGGTTTTTCCAGAATCGTCCTTCGAAATATATAAAAATATATAAAATTTTCGACCAATATTCAACAAAATTTTCGAAATTTTACTAAATACATTTTCTTGTAGATTTAGGGCCGCAGAAGTCATATCCGATTTCATTTCTTCGATAACTCCAATGGTTTTTCCAGAATCGTCCTTCGAAATATATAAAAATATGCAAGAATACCACCAATTTTCGACCAATTTTCAACAAAATTTTCGAAACTTCACTAAATAGATTTTCTTGTAGATTTAGGGCCGCAGAAGTCATATCCGCCTTCATTGCTTCGATAAATCCAATGGTTTTTCCAGAATCGTCCTTTTAAATATATAAAAATATGCAAAATACCACCAATTTTCGACCACTTTTCAACGAAATTTTCGAAATTTCACTAAATAGATTTTCTTGTAGATTTAGGGCCGCAGAAGTCATATTCGCTTTCATTACATCGATAAATTCAGTGGTTTTTCCAAAATCGTCCTCTCAAATATATAAAAATATGCAAAATACCACCAATTTTCGACCAATTTTCAACAAAATTTTCGAAACTTCACTAAATACATTTTCTTGTAGATTTAGGGCCGCAGAAGTCATATCCGCTTTCATTTCTTCGATAACACCAAAGGTTTTTCCAGAATCGTCCTTTGAAATATATAAGAATATGCAAAATACCACCAATTTTCGACCAATATTCAACAAAATTTACGAAATTTCACTAAATACATTTTCTTGCAGATTTGGGGCCGCAGAAGTCATATCCCTTTTCATTGCTTCGATAAATCCAATGGTTTTTCCAGAATCGTCCTTCGAAATATATAAAAATATATAAAATTTTCGACCAATATTCAACAAAATTTTCGAAATTTTACTAAATACATTTTCTTGTAGATTTAGGGCCGCAGAAGTCATATCCGATTTCATTTCTTCGATAACTCCAATGGTTTTTCCAGAATCGTCCTTCGAAATATATAAAAATATGCAAAATACCACCAATTTTCGACCAATTTTCAACAAAATTTTCGAAATTTCACTAAATACATTTTCTTGTAGATTTAGGGCCGCAGAAGTCATATCCGCTTTCATTGCTTCGATAAATCCAATGGTTTTTCCAAAATCGTCCATTGAAATATATAAAAATATGCAAAATACCTCCAATTTTCGACCAATTTTCAACAAAATTTTCGAGATTTTACTAAATACATTTTCTTGTAGATTTAGGGCTGCAGAAGTCATATCCGCTTTCATCTTTTCGATAACCTCAAAGGTTTTTCCAGAATCGTCTTTTGAAAGATATAAAAATATGCATCAATTTTCGATCAATTTTCAACAAAATTTTCCAAATTTCACTAAATGCATTTTCTTGTAGATTTAGGGCCGCAGAAGTCATATCCGCTTTCATTTCTTCGATAACTCCAAAGGTTTTTCCAGAATCGTCCTTTTAAATATATGAAAATATGCAAAATCCCACCAATTTTCGACCAATTTTCAACGAAATTTTCGAAATTTCAAAAAATACATTTTCTTGTATATTTAGGTCCGCAGAAGTCATATCCGCTTTCATTTCTTCGATAACTCCAATGGTTTTTTCAGAATCGTCCTTTGAAATATATAAAAATATGCAAAATACCACCAATTTTCAACCAATTTTCAACAAAATTTTCGAAATTTCACTAAATACATTTTCTTGTAGATTTCGGGCCGCAGAAGTCATATCCGTTTTCATTTCTTCGATAACTCCAATGGTTTTTCCAGAATCGTCCTTTGAAATAAAGAAAAATATGCAAAATACCAACAATTTTCGACCAATATTCAACAAAATTTTCGAAATTTCACTAAATACATTTTCTTGTAGATTTAGGGCCGCAGAAGTCATATCCGTTTTCATTGCTTCGATAAATCCAATGGTTTTTCCAGAATCGTCATTTAAAATATATAAAAATATGCAAAATACCACCAATTTTCAACAAAATTTTCGAAATTTCACTTAATACATTTTCTTGTAGATTTCGGGCCGCAGAAGTCATATCCGTTTTCATTTCTTCGATAACTCCAATGGTTTTTCCAGAATCGTCCTTTGAAATAAAGAAAAATATGCAAAATACCACCAATTTTCGACCAATATTCAACAAAATTTTCGAAATTTCACTAAATACATTTTCTTGTAGATTTAGGGCCGCAGAAGTCATATCCGCTTTCATTTCTTCGATAACTCCAATGGTTTTTCCAGAATCGTCCTTTGAAATATATAAAAATATGCAAGAATACCACCAATTTTCGACCAATTTTCAACAAAATTTTCGAAATTTCACTAAATACATTTTCTTGTAGATTTAGGGCCGCAGAAATCATATCCGCTTTCATTTCTTCGATAACTCCAATGGTTTTTCCAGAATCGTCATTTGAAATATATATAAACATGCACCAATTTTCTATATATAACTATATAAAGGTCGTGAACGGATAATATGAATATCTTTTTATATGACAAGCCTTCTTATTTTTGCTCGTTATTCAATTTATATTTTTATAATTATATATTTTCTTTTTATTTATATTTCGACATTTTATAAAATAACATCATTTACCCTACACTTGTATTTGCACCTTAACTTGTAGAGATAGAGTAACAAGTTACCCCAAGTTACTGGATTTTTTAAAGATTATAATAATAGGAAAACCAACTAAATCTCCATAGCTTTGGACTAAAAACCTTCACCCATTTCAAATCTCCCGAGAACCCCGCCTTTTTATCCCGCCACCTTGCGTCAACTAGTCAAACTTTTCCCCACCTTCAAAAAAAAAACTACCAGCCTTACTTTATAAAATGTATTAACAATAACAGTACCGTCCTTACACTTAAGCACAACTGGAACAAAAATTTAGTACATAACCTCTACACGGTGCCCCAAAAAGTCCAGAGTCACCGAAAACACCCGACTCCTCAAACAGGCACCCTTTTTCCTCATCAGACATCTCCCTCCTCTTTACTGAGCCGGATTAGGTGGAGTAGGCACATTCAGCAGAAGATTCTGTCCACCCGGCAAATACGAAACCTGCCTCGACCTCGACAACTGATACGCTATATCCTCGGCTGCCTCGATCCTCCTCAGCTCCACCAGCCCCTCGCCAGCCTGCCCGAACGCCTTCGCCAGCAAATTCGCCGCCTGAGCGTCTCCTTCGGCCGTAATCACCGCAGCCTTCTTATTCTGCTCGGCCTTCTCCACCAGGAACCTCGCCTTCTCCGCCTCCTGCTGCGCCACCTGCTTCAGCTCCACGGCCAGCGTGAACTCGCGACCGAACGTGAGATGCGTGATGGAGATGTCGTCCAGGATGACGCCGAACTGGGAGGCTCTTTCCGTGAGGTCGTCGCTGACCTTCTGCGAGACGAGGTCCCTCTGGGTGATGAGTTCTCCGGCGTCGAACTGGGCGACTACGGCTTTGAGCACTTCGGTGGTGATTGAGGGCAGAACGCGTTCTTCGTAGTCTTGGCCTAGGATGGTGTAAATGCGGGGTAGCTGGTCGGGGATGGGGCGGAAGAGGATACGGAGGGTGATGTTGACGTTCTGGAGGTCCTTGCTTCCGGTCATGACGGGGACGTTGCGGGGGCGCGAGCGCACGTCGAAGATGACGGGGCGCTGCACCCAGGGGATGAAGAAGTGGGTGCCTTCACCGACGACGTCCTTTTTTATCCCGGTGAAGCGGTCGAAAATGACGGCGCGGTGGCCCCCATCAACTAAAATAGTTGGTTTTGAAGGATTGTTAAATTTAGAGGAGTCTCTTACCGTTGTATAAGGCCGAATTTACGACGCCGCCGACGAGGGCGACCCCCAGGCCGAACTGACCAATTCTGTTGAAAAACTGGGACGCTGACATTGTTTATCTGGAAGAAAGGTGTAAATGAATGCAGCCAGTCTGACTTTTTTAGGTTAGGATGACGGAAGTGTTTAAGAGGGGTAAAAAAAGCAATAAACTCGTTTTAAAAGGCAAAAACGGTGGAAATGTTTTATTTTGACGGGCTAAATGTAAATCAATACCTTATATTTACTTCAAATCTGGTTAAATAACCCGGTAAATTCACGAGTCGGATAAAAAACAAAATGGAAGCCTTTGATGACTTTGGCGATTGACATTTGACAGATTTGTGGTATTTTCCATGCCACCAACGTAATCATAATAAATAACCATTGCATAATAATAATAAAATTTTAAAATTATTAATGGGCTCTTAAAAGTAAAAGCGGTTGTAATTTTCACTTCACGCTGATATTATACGTCGCTAAATAACCTTGATGAATTTTATCAATGACAGTGAGTTTTCTTAAAATCGACTCATCAAAGTAAAAATCAGGTAGTGAACGTGTTGTTAAAAGTCGTAAGGAAATGCCAAACGCCACAACTTTCCAGTGTAGTTAGTAAACTGCGATAAGTTGTAAAAAATCCAGTAGTAGTTTGTTCAGTACTCTGTATCGTTGTTTCTTCATGACATAGTTGTAAATTCAGGACCGAAAATGTTAAACTACACTCACTGTTAAGGGCAAACTTTTGATCTTCCAATTCATTTTCAAAAAAATTGCGTGTTTTAAGAAAGTTTTTCGTAATCAAATTTTGTGTTTTTAACGAGCACAAGAAAAACGAAAAATAGTCGAAAATAAAAAGAACAAAAAAGCAGGAAAAGAGTCAAAAAGAAGCAAAAAAATGTGATAAAAGGGAAAAAAGCGAAAACAAAAAAGGGGAGTAGTAAAATGTAAAAAAGGGGCAAAAAATGATAAAAAATAAGGAAAGCCGGGCGATAAAAGAGTCAAAATAGTCAAAAAGAGATAAAAAAATTAACACACTCATAAGCTACAAATATAAACCTATTATTGTATTTTGCCCATTTTAGAAAAAATCTACCCAGAAAAATTCTGAGATGACCTCATTAAATTTTTAGAGACGACAAACGAAAATTTGTGTACTGATATAATTTGAAAAATCTCGGGGACCACTTGTGCTTGGTGTTTGAAGTAGTTTTAAAGAATCTCGAGGACTCCTTTTGTTTTGTTTTTGACGTGGTTTGAAAGAATCTCGGGTGCCCCTTATGGCTTGTTTTTGAAGTAAGTAGTTTGACTTTTTATTTTGTTTTTGAAGTAATCTGAAAGAATCTCGGGGACCACTTGTGTGTTGGTTTTTGAAGTAGTTTGAAAAAATCTCACGAACCTCTTTTCCCTGGTGTTTGAAGTAGTTAGAAAGAATCTTAAGGACTTTTTTTGTTTTGCTGTTAAAGTAGTTTGGAAGAATCTCAGTGACACCTTTTGTTTTGTTTTTGAAGTATGTAGTTTGAAAGAACCTTGGAGATTCCTTGTTATTTTGGTTTTGAGGTAAGTTGAAAGATCTCGTGGATCCCTTTTCTGTTATTTTCGAAGTACTTTGAAAGATTCCCTGCTTTTGTTTTGTTTTTGAAGTGGTTTGAAAGAATCTCGGGTGGCCTTTGTGTCTGTTTTTTGCAGTAGTTTCACTCTTTTGTTTTGTTTTCGTAGTAATTTGAAAGACTCTTGGGGATCACTTGTATCTGGTTTTTGAAGTAGTTTAAAAGAATTTCATTTCAGGAACCCTTTGTGCCTGGTTTTTGAAGTAGTTGATCTTGGAAACCATTTTTGTTTTATTTTTGAAATAGTTTGAAATAATCTTAGGTATTCAACCTCTTCTTTTTGAAGTAGTCTGAAGAATCTCGAAAATCTCTTGTGTTGGTTTTTTAAGTAGTTTAAAAGAATCCCGGGAACGTCTTTTGTTCTGCTTTTGAAGTCTTTTGTAAGAATCTCGGGAATTAATTTTGTTTTAATATTGAAGTATAGTTTGAAAGAATCTCGAGAACAATTTGCACCTGGTTTTTGAAGTAGTTTGAGGGATTTCGGGGACCATTTTTGTTTTATTTTTGAAGTAGTTTGAAAGAATCTTGGGTATTCAAGCTCTTCTTTTCGAAATAGTCTGAAGAATCTCGGAAACCTCTTGTTCTGGGTTTTGAAATAGTTAGAGGGATCTCGAAGACCATTTTTGTTTTATTTTTGAAGTAGTTTGAAAGAATCTTTGGTATTTAAGCTCTGCTTTTTGAAGTATTGTGAAGAATCTCGGAAACCTTTTGTTCTGGTTTTTGAAGTAGTTTGAGGGATCTCTGAGATCTTTTTGGTTTTGTTTTTGAAGTAGTGTAAAAGAATTTCGGGGACCTTTTGTGTCTGGTTTTTGAAGTAGTTTGAGGGATCTCGGAGACCCTTTTCGGTTTTTTTTTAAGTAGTTTGAAGGAATTTCAAGGATCACCTGCGTGAGGTTTTTGAAGTAGTTTAAAAGAATCTCAGAGACCCTTTTTGTTTGTTTTTGAAGTACTTTGAAAGGATCTTAGGGATTCCGCTTCTTCTCTTTGAAGTACATAGTTCTAAAGAATCTCAGGAACTATTTGTGCCTGGTTTTTGAAGTAGTTTAAAAGAATCCCGGGGACGTCTTTTGTTCTGTTTTTGAAGTAGTTTGAAAGTATCTTGGTAATTAATTTTGTTTTAATTTTGAAGCAGTTTGAAAGAATCTCGAGAACAACTTGCACCTGGTTTTTGAAGTAGTTTAAAAGAATTTCAGTTCGGGAACCCTTTGTGCCTGGTTTTTGAAGTAGTTTGAGGGATCTCGGAGACCATTTTTGTTTTGTTTTTGAGGTAGTTTGAAAGAATCTTGGGGATTCAACGTCTTCTTCTTGAAGTAGTTTTAAAGAATCTCGGGGAACCCTTGCGTCTGGATTTTGAAGTAGTCCGAAGAATCTCGGAAACCTCTTGTGCTGGTTTTTCAAGTAGTTTAAGGGATCACGGAAATCTTTTTGATTTTGTTTTTGAAGTAGTTACAAGAATTTCGGGGACCCTTTGTGCCTGGTTTTTGAAACAGTTTGAGCGATCTCGGAGACACTTTTTTTTTTGTTTTTGAAATAGTTTGAAAGAATCTCAGGGACCATTTGTGTGTGGTTTTTGAAGTAGTTTAAAAGAATCTCGGGTACCCTTGGTGTCTGGTTTTTGCAGTAGTTTGAGGGATCTCGGAGACCCTTTTGGTTTGTTTTTGAAGTACTTTGAAAAGATCATGGGGAGTCCGCGTCTTTTCTTTGAAATTGTTTTAAAGAATCTCGGGGATCTCTTGTGTCTGGTGTTTGAAGTAGTTTTTCGAAAGAATCTCGGGGACGCTTCTGTTTTATTTTTAGTATTTTGAAACAATTTCGGGCACTCATTCTGTTTTGTATTTGAAGTATTTTGAAAGACTATCGGGGACTACTTTTGTTTTAATTTTGAAGTAGTTTGAAAGAATCTCGAGGACCACTTGCAGCTGGTTTTTGAAGTACTTTAAAAGAATTTCGGGAACCCTTTCTGTCTGGTTTTTGAAGTAGTTTGAGGGATCTCGAAGACCTTTTTGGTTTGTTTTTGAAGTACTTTGAAAAAATCTAAGGGATTCCGCGTCTTCTGTTTGAATTAGTTTGAAATAATTTTGCGGATCCCTGTTTCTGGTTTTTGAAGTAATCTGAAAGAATCTCGGAAACTTTTTGTGCTTGGTTTTTGAAGTAGTTTAAAAGAATCTCAGGGACCACTTGTATCTGGTTTTTGAAGTAGTTTGGAAAAATCTCGGAGAGCCAGTTTGTTTGGTTTTTGAAGTAATTTGAATAAAACCCGGAGTCCATAATCATACGGGGTAAATTCAGACTGGCACCTGAAAGGTCGAAATTTTACTTTATTTAAAACTAATGAACACTCTGTGTATAAAATTTGAATTTGGGCTTCGGAAAATTCCCGATTTCCAGATGTTCCCATCCGCCCTTGTGTATTATTTGTTAAAATGTGATTGTATAAAATGAAGAGGGGAAATAGTCAATTATTTGTCAAAAACTGGGTTTTTCTTATCATCGCAAAGCCAAACAATAAAACGCACTTTTTTGTTTTAGTTTCGCTACCGCACATTTACTGTGGTATTGATTTTCCATCAAGCCACAATAGGGGTGTATTATGTGTTGCCTACCTGTGACACAATAGCGAACCTTTGTTTCGCGCATTTTAACTGTTATCAAATAAGTGATACCACGGTTTATTAACAAGTATTTACTTATACAACGTAAGGAACACCATTACACAAAAGTTAAATGCACGTGCACCATAATTCACTTCTTATCAGACTACTAATACTCAGTCCAATGACCAAGCACATTTTTATATAACTTATGATCTATATCCGTGGTAATTTTACTTTATATATTTACATAAATTGCAAAATTTGTATGCACTCAAGGTTGTGTACACTATTAAAACTAGCCTGAACCACACCCATTACCAAAAAAATCTCCCTATTGAACTTTCTTCTTGGGGACAACATTCCAATAATACGCCAATTGCGCTACAAGCACACCATTCGCCGCCGTCGACGCGATATAAGTCAAAATAACCATCCTATCCCCAGTCTCTTGTATTGAAGTAAAAATCCTAGCTAAAGACCCACAGAACAACATAATCAAAGTAGCAGCAGACAACTGCCCCGTATGCCCATTCCTGTAATTACTCAAAGCCTGCGTCAACTTCCCGCTCACTACAATAAAAATGTTAAACCCTTGCAGCGTCCACAAGACCTCAATGGGCGTCAACCCGCCGATCAAAACAAAAGTCACGCCCAAATACCCCACCAAATATAACACAGCACTCAACGTGGAGCCCCCATAATGCAAAACGAGAACCCCAATGAGCACTGTTTGTATACCGAGAAAAGAGGCGTCGCCCCAGGCACTAAACGGGAACTGTTTGAGAAAACTATACGACGCGTAGAGCGTGATTGCCGTCAAATCGAGCGTCACACTGAGCAAACTGATGCCTTCCCCGCTCTTGTTTTTATGGATTTTGGCAATTTGTGGCAGTTTGACTAAAAGGGAACCCAGGATGATACCCAAGCCGAGGCATTTACTCAGAGTTGCCGAAAAACATGGTCCTGGAAATTGAAATTGAGGGCTGGCATAACCTCACTTTTTCCTTACCGTCGAAGAAGTCGAAGTTGACGAAGTATTTGTCGTAGCAGTGGGGGGTGACGACGATTAGGATCGCCTGACGGAGGAGGTCTAGCACTGCTGAAGACATGGTGTGTACTATCTCATTGGGACTGATAATGGTTTAATTTATCGTTTGAATTCACGGGTTGACCTCGAACCTTTACACGTCAGACGTAAATGTCAGTTATTTATGATTGGGATGGTGGTATGAGGCATAACGCGCGGTTTCCATAAAGCAGTGGCGGCGAGTACACAACAATGTAGTAGCAATTAAGGGGACTCGCTAGAAGAGATTTCTGATATAGATGTATTATATTAGACATCAAACTGCAGCCACTCTATTTATACTATGAGCTAAGCATGTAATATGGACTAAGCGAGGAAAAACTATTTTTAGGTTGGATGAAGTTTGGCACATGTATGTAGCAGCATAGATGACATTAATATGAAAAAACAGATTGAGAATTGTCTGTAGCCAACTCTACTGTCATCTACTTGTCAGTCCTGATAAAAATGTCTGGAAAAAATCCACGCAAAGTTAACACCCCTTCTAAGCATGTAATTTTAAAGCCAAAAACTACCTCCACCGGTTCCACGCATGCACCATCTACCTCGGGACCCTCTTTCAGAACTTCACGTGTAGCCACTACGGCCAATGCCTACATTTCTTTCGTCAACCCTGTATTCAGATTTCCCAGCGCTTTGAACTTTTTGCCGGTAGTATTTTCGCTGTTTATAAAACTGGTTTCATCCCCAAATACTTCAAGGATGTGGTAGAACAAGGCAGTGATGCCGATTCTGTGAAGAGTTTCCGTTCAGATGATGTTATACGTGTACAAAGTACCCAACTCTTGCCTGAAATATTTAGTACGAACTTACGAAATTTGTTTCTGCGGACTGTTTATGGAATACTGGCTCTTCAGTACTTTTGTATGGTGGTATTTCTAGCAACGGCATACTTTGTGTAAGAGGGCATTCAAGGTGTAGTGGGTGTTGGTGACCGAATATTTTTTAGGGATCCTATACATGCGCTGCTCCAAACATGGGGTTTTGAAATCGGGATTACTTTTGTGTATGTATTAAAGATATTGTAGTACGCATAGTACTTCTGTAATACGATTTCCAGGAGCAATTACTTTTTATACGCAATATGTCTAGTGTTTTTTAGACGGCTAAGGAAACAAAGCCCCCAGAACATAATACTGTTCGTTTTACTGGCAAGTAGTACCAAAAACTGTTTCCATAATAACTTGTACACTTTTCAGACATTTTCCTTAACGATGGCAGTAACAGCGTTTTCGTGTTACAAACCAACGGAAAGCGTAGGACCCTTCTTCAGTGCCACTATAGCTTTCATAACGATGCTTGCAATGTCACTGGCAAGCTTTCAGAACGCAGTTCGAAACTAACAAACTCTAACCTCGCAAATCTACTAATTATCTCTATATAATTTCAGTACGACATGACCAAAAGTGGAGTATTTTTCTATGGAGGTCTGGCTGTAGTGGCAGTGACTACATGTGCAATAATAACCAAGATACAGCTTGCTTTCGAGTCTTCACACGCTTATCATATATTGACAGCCCTCGAACTTTATTTGTTCATTTTTGTAAAAATATACCAGATTTTGTTAGATTTAACTATACAGATGTGGTGTTTCAGTGGATAACGTGGCATGCTCGACAGATAGGGGAAAGCAAAAAGAGGAGTATTGCAGTGGAGGAGTACCTCTTCGGGGCGTTGACTTTGTATGTAGAATATTTGCTCATAATTATGTTTATTGTGAAATTTATTAAATCGTTGAGGAAAATATGAAACCACTTGGTTTATTTTACTTAAAGGCTGACAACGCACGGCTGCAATGCTCTAGTTTGCGCGAAATCACAAAAAAAAGAAATCGTTAAACGTAGGCAACCAGGTGCACGATAACGCTTGCTGGATAGTTGGACAATTAGTAGCGCTAGGGGACACGTGGTAAGAGCTAGTTTAAAATAGTTGGTTTTGTAGTTAATAAAAGGGAAGAAGCCTTTGTTTAACGACAGTCAATCGTAAGTTCAAGACGACACAGTTTCCCCAAATCGCGCGGCTAATTAATGTCTTCCCTTAGGCGGTTATCATCGTTATTATCGTCGTTATCATGATCAAATCTCTGGGGCATGTCCTGGAGAATCATCGAGGCTGGCCCTCACAACGCTAAAGATTGATTACATCATCGAGGCTTGCCCGCACAACGCTATAGATTGATTACTTCATCGAGGTATGTCCTCGCAACGCTAGAGATTAATACCATCATCGAGGCATTCCCTCGCAACGATAAAAAAATTACATCACCCAGACGCTTTAGCAACGACGATTGGATATTTTTGTGTTTATTTATTATGTGAACTGGGGTAACCAGTTCGCGGTATTTTAAACTCTCACAGTAAACTGTTTTTTTAAGTAACCAAATCACTTGGATTATGACATAATTTGGCATAATGTAAACTTTTTGTTTGAATCGTTGATAAAGTGTAGCAAATATTAATCTCATGTAAATTTTGTTAACTTTTCAATTTTACGCCTCATACAATATTTCTCTAATCTCACAGTTTTAATCTCAGTAATTTTCCTTTGTTGTATAATTTTCATTGGACGTAATTTTCATGCCCTACAGTTTTAACCTCACATAATATTTTTATTTGCACAAGTTTATTTCACACCAGGGGGCGATTTTGTTTCTCGATCGAAAAAAACTCGATAGCGATAAAATCTCGTTTTCTGATTGGTTGAGATGCTACATTTCTGTCACCTTTCTCGATTCTGTCACGAAATCAAGTCTTCATTGTGGTGACCGAATTTGAATCAAAGTTTTCGCGCTGAAATTAATTAACAGCGGCGCGAGATCACGTTTGATTAACTTGAATGTGAAAAAAAAAATTCAATAAAAATAAGAAATCGTTAAACATAGGCAACCAGGTGCACGGTAACGCTTGCTGGATAGTTGGATAATTAGTAGCGCTAGGGGATTTTAGTTCGAAGGTTGGATGTTAGACAGAGGGCGACATGGCGGAGCGTCAGTCTGAACGTGTTTTTGTGAATGTAAACACGTGGTAAGAGCTAGTTAAATTAGTTGGTTTGTCGTTCAACGCGGAACACTTGCTGTAAATTTGTTTTAATGTTTGTAAATCCACCAATCAAGTTAGTTTTTCTTAATAGTCAGCTAGTGCAAACACAATTTAACAATCAGGACTATTTAAATAAACCACTTGCTAGAAGATTTCATGAAATTCATTCATTTAGTCAGGATAATAATTCTTTGTTTAGCAAATTACGAATAGGTTTCTGGATGCATATACGTAAGTGTTACATTATAACACTTCTTAATTCTTCACACAAGATTGCTAATAGTTCATTTACGGCAGTTAAATGAACTAAATTCATACTGAGAACTGGCGGGGGGTTAAAATAATTTCTTCCCTTAGACGGTTATCACCGTGATTATCGTCGCTATCATGATCAAATCACTGGGGCATTCCTTGAGCATCATCGAGGCTGGCCCTCACAACGCTAAAGATTGATTACATCATCGAGGCATGTCCTCGCAAGCTAGAGATTAATAACATCATTGAGGTATTCCCTCGCAACGATAAAAAAAATTACATCACCCAGACGCTTTTTCCTCGCAACGAGGATTGGATATTTTTGTGTTTATTTATTATGTGCCTTGTTGGGGTAACCAGTTCGCGGTATTTTAAACTCTCAAAGCAAACTGTTTTTTTAAGTAACCAAATCACGTGGATTATGACATAATTTGGCATAGTGTAAACTATTTGTTCGAATCGTTGATAAAGTGTGGCAAATATTAATCTCATGTAAATTTTGTTAACTTTTCAATTTTTCACCTCATACAATATTTCTCTAATCTGACAGCTTTAATTTCAGTAATTTTCCTTTGTTGTATAATTTTCATTGGACGTAAATTTCATGTTCTACAGTTTTAACCTCACATAATATTTTTATTTGCACAAGTTTATTTCACACCAGGGGGCGATTTTGTTTCTCGATCGAAAAAACTCGATAGCGATAAAATCTCGTTTTCTGATTGATTGAGATGCTACATTTCTGTCACCTTTCTCGATTCTGTCACGGAATCAAGTCTTCATTGTGGTGACCGAACTTAAATCAAAGTTTTCGCGCTGAAATTAATTAACAGCGGCGCTAAATCACGTTTGAATAACTTGAATTTGAAAGAAAAAAAAATTCAATCACAAAAAGGAAATCGTTAAACATAGGCAACCTGGTACACGGAGATGCTTGTTTGGTAGGGTGACAATTTAGCGCTAGGGAGTTTTTAGTTAGAGGGTTGGTTGGTTGGTTGGTAGATAAGCTGCATGCTTGTGTGAGTGTAACCACGTGGTAAGCGCTATGTTTAAATTAGTTGGTTTGCTGTCTATCATATAAATTGTTTGATGTCCAGTTTTTATCTCACATAAGAATTATTTGTTGGTTAAATTTTCACAAGATTGATTGGCGAATTTAAATGAATTGAGGTTAAATAACACAGAAAACGTGGCAGAAGCGAAGTTCGGTTCCTAGTCGAGCTGGCGAGATTTATCGTGTCACCTGTACAAGTCCACAGGTTTGGATAAATTCAGGGGCGGCCTCCGATGTTGTAAAGTTCTCGGCTTCTGCCCATAGCCGAGATCTCTTGGGGGTGGGACGACTGTCATGGCCTAGTTCCGCAGGGCACGTTGGTAATGGAGTTGGTAATGGAGATATGCGTGTGGGGTAGGCTTTGCGATAGATAGAATTACCGTCGTGGGAGGAGAACAGCTCCAGACCGGTAGCCCCAAACTCCGCTTGTGTTACAACACTCCAGGGGTACTTTTGTTGTGCTCCGGTTAACTGCCGTAACATTAAAAAAAAATCTGCCGCCACACGCCCGTAATAACTTGTGTATTTGCATCCAGTTACTTAAGTCGGAGTTTGCTTTGTTTTATTAAATTTGTGATATTCAAATATTTGTATTGATCCCAAACAGATGTGTATAATTTTCCGTTTGTTCGTTTTTCATATGTGTATGTTTGTCAATTAAATAAGAATTATTTGTTTAAAATTTCACAAGATTGTATGGTGAATTTAAATGTTGTTTATTGCTCTTTTGAAACTTTAACACTTGTTCAGTTGTTGTTAATATCAGAGTCATAAGAGATTGAAGATGTAAAATGGAATTGAGGTTAAATAACACAGAAAACGTGGCAGAAGCGAAGTGCGGTTCCTAGTCGAGCTGGCGAGATTTATCGCGTCACTTGAAAAAGGGTACAGGTTTGGATAGATTCAGGGGCGGTTGCGATGTTGTAGTGCTCTTGACTTGGCCCAATAGTCGAGACCTAACTGCGGATTTGCGATCGTAACGACCTAGTTTCGGACGGCATGTTCGTCCTAGAGAGGTGTAATGTGCTGTGCGGGTAGGCTTGCGATAGATAGAATCACCGTCGTGGGGGGAGAACAGCCCCGACCTGTAGCCCCAAACTCCGCTTGTGCTAGAACGCCCCGGGGGTATTTTTCTTGTGCTCCCGTTGACTACCGTAACTTTAAATTTGTCGCCACACACCCATAATAACTTGTGTATTTGCATCCAGTTTTGTGATATTCAAATATTTGTATTGCAATTTGCAATTAGGTTCCGTTGAAAATAAAAATTTACAGTCGATAAAACAGTGCTGAAAATAGTCGCTAGTTGTCAATTTGACAATGGCGCTGTCCATTCTGAATACTCGTTTGCTGTGATGATACCCATAGGTACCTGAATAGAAACAGGTGTTTCTGAAGAACCACGAAGTCAGTGATTGACCCTCCAGTAGTGCATGTCAAACCGTCAGTCAAGTCCTCTACACCTTCATAAGTAAATACACACTACATAACCACCCTGATTGACATCCCTGACACCCAAAACACCTACTTTAGAGTATAAAACTTTCCCCGTTGCCTCAAAATGGAGACTCTCCCCGTGCAAACCGATCCGAAGCAACCGAAAATTCTCCAAAAACCCCCGAAAGTGGACGTCAGAAACCAAATTGTCAAAATGTCTAAACGGAACCACTTGAACCAGCCCCAAGTAAGACCTCGGACGCTCATAGAACAACTAGGCATAGGCCAAAGCGCCTCCGTTGGTGTAAAAACCCCAGATACTTTGCTTCGTCCAAGACGTACTGATAGTTAAATTTTAGTCGAATCGTTTCATGAAAGGCAAGTATAGCACGACTTCGAGCGGTGACGAGTACTTTTTGGACACCACAGCGGAGAGCCAAAGTTCGGCCTTTCAAGAAATGTTCTCCATGTCTTTCAGGCAACTGAAAAACAGAAACACGTTCGCGCAGAAGGTTTTCTTGATTTTGGGGATTCTGATGTCCTTCTCTTTCATAGTCTTCATGCTGCTCATCAACCAGTAGGTAAGGGTTTGCACGTGTTTCTTGAAAATGTGGTTCTTGTTGTAGACAGAACATCACGGAAAAGTTTAGAGCCAACTGGTTGCCGTTATTTGTAGCTTTTACGTAAGTACGACCCGAGTTATTTTGTTGACGTAGAGTGGTGAATATTTTAGAGCTGTGGAATTGTTAGTCACGTTCATCATGTTTATCATTCCCAGATGGACACGAAGACCACCCAACTACATCGTCCTCTTAATTTTTTTAGTAAGATGGTATAGATTATGCTCGAGCAGGGCAGATTAAGCTTACTAGATATTTATTTATCGAAAAATAAGCCTTGAAAGATGGATAGAACGATAGTCCTTCTAAGTATCTAGTAAACTTAAGGGTAAATACGATCATTAATACAGTAGTGTTAATTGGTTCCTTTTTCTGATTTGTCCAAATTCTGCCTTCGTAGACCGTTTCTGTGACTCTCCAGGCTGCTTCCTTGGTCGCCCATTTCCATGCCATTGAACTTCTTTTGTACATAACTGGTTCCCTCATGGTCATATTGTTTATCGGTTCTATGTTTTCGGCCCAAGATAGAGTGAGTATATTTGCATTTTGAGCAAAGACCCAAAATTGTTTGTAGTGTGAAGCGACAGGTTGGCCAATGTTTGTCTTTTTTGCCACGTTGACGGCTCTTATTGCTACAGGAATGACAGGTTTACTGACTGTGGTGTTCATAGAAGACAAAAAGTGGGAGTATATTGGAGCTGCGGTCGGTTTGGTCTTGCTGACTATGGCCGTAATACTCATAAGCCGTTGAGGTTTTGGGCACACTTTGATTTTTCAGTTTTTAGATTATCTTGATCCTTTTAAGAGATATGTTGAAGAGTCAGGAATTGCAGGTGTTCGAATATATGTACGGGGCATTAATTGTATTTGCGAGTATAACGACGTTCTATGGATTTAAATCGCTTTTTCTTTGTATAAAAGGAAAGCCACCAGAGACATTTGATCCGCCTACTCCATGACCTGACCTGACCTGACCAAACAGCATTATTACTGAAATGAGGATGGTTTTAAATAACTTGAGTGGAAATTAGGTTAGACATATAAGTTTTATTGTGATTTTCAAAATAAAACCCATTTTAACTATAGTACTGAACAATCAATGCTTTCACTTTTGATTTTTGTTCAATTTACCACGACGCGAAAGACAGTGGACATCCAGCATCCTAAGACCAAACACAAAGCCTTGGTAGCTCAACCAAGGAAATTTTCTCATTTGAAGATGAAACATTTTCAATACTAGATGGCGTAATCCCCGTACTAACCTTAAAATTTTAATTCTGCATTATTTACTTCAAATCAACAAGTAAGACAGCCACCTGCCACCCCTGACATTTATTGATGTCACTGTCAACATGACCCTACCATGGGTGAGCCTTCACAAGACAATCCTCCGAAAGAGGAGCCACCACCAGACCTGCCACCCATCGAGCCCCCTGATACCTGCACCAAAGTAGAAACGAAAATAGAAATAGAAGAGATCGTGCTCAATCCAGCCATTCTCGGTCAACCTCCACCTGACCAAATCCCTCGTAATCCTTACAACCAGAACCCGTACCAACAAAATCCATACCAGCAAAACCCGTACCAGCAGAACCAACCCAATCAGAATTACTACTACCACGATCCCAGCTACAACCAGAGACAAACCCCTGCCTACCAGCAGCAAGTGGGAGGTCAAAATGTCTACGTTTCTGTAGTTTAAGTAGTACTGCGATAGTTCCATTGTTGTAGTTTTGTTACAGGGCGATCCCAATTACCCTCCACCGGACGTCAGTAGAGGGCAGGGTGCATACAGAGCAAACTACCCCGGACAAGGGGACGACTACCGTGAATACGGAGACATGGGGATCTTCACGGATACTTTCAGTTCTGTGAAAATCCGAAACCGTTTCGTTCAGAGAGTCTACACCATATTGTCGGTGCAGCTTTTCTTCACTTTCCTTGTGGTGTTGTTGATCACCTTCGTGTAAGTAAAGAGGAGCTTTTGGTACGTTGTTTCACTTGTGTTGTAGATGGGCACTGCGGGTATTCGTCTTTCAGTACTTTCTGATTTTATTAATCCTTGGCACGTAAGTACTTGTATTGCAGAGAACCGTATTTTATTTAAGTCTTGTAGGGTTATTGTGCTTATAACTATGATAGCTTTAGTTTGTTGTGTGAATTTGAGGCGTAGTTTTCCCACGAACTTCATTCTCTTGGGTCTTTTGGTGAGTTTGTAGTACCACCAGAATGCGAACAGTGCTTTCGTTGTGTTTCAGACGGTTGGTATGACCATAATGATCGCACCATCAGTTGCTCTAACCCATCCCTTGGTCATACTAGCAGCCACTGGTACCACCGCCGGTGTCTGCATTTTGGTTTCCATTTTTGCTTGTCAGACTTCGGTATAGTACTACTGATTATTAATACACTATGAATAATGATGGCGTTTGTAGTGGGACGTAACAGGATGTGGAATGTGCTTTTGTATTCTCACACTAGTACTACTACTATATGGAATTGTCATAACGATACTAGCTCTAGCGGGTATCAACCTTCCGATTTTACACATCGTATATTCGGCACTTGCAGTTTTAATCTTTTGTTTGGTAAAGAGGTACGTTTTATGGTACTTTATTTTCATTAATGGTGTTGTTTTAGTGGTTAATGTATGACACTCAGATGATCATGGGAGGAAGGCGTATAGAGTTGTCACCAGAAGAGTACATTTTTGGAGCTTTGACGTTGTACGTTGATGTAATCGTTATATTTATAAACCTTATGTCTCTGTATAACCAGTGCTTGGGTGGGGAATAAAATTATTTGTGTTGTATGCAGAACATTCTTGTCATTTGTATCCACACACGTTTACTTATTTTCTCAGAGAATGTGAATTGTCAAAATCAGTCTTAACAGGTACTAGCCCCGCCCACCCGCCCTCTATTTTATTACAAGGTGCGTCATTTGCCAAAATCAGTTTTACCTAAGAAATTATTAGCCCCGCCCACCCACCCTCTCTATTCTTCGGAGGTATGTCATTTATCAAACTCAGTCTTATCTTAGCAGGTACTTAAAATTCAAAAATCGAAAAATTGAATAATTAAAAATTGAAAACTTGTGAAATTCTTTCTTCAGAGCTAACAAAAATGAATGACGAAAGCAGAATAAGGGTGGGTGAGCCCCTTTTTACTTTGTTTTAAATCCTAGATTCTACCGCGTGTTAAAATAGATTTCAATTCACATTTTACAATAAACAAAATAAGCAAGCAGTAGCCCCGCCCACCGACCCCCCTCTTCGTTCCAGTGACTACTTTTAATATTATTCAGTCTTATCTTGGCAAGTACTAGCCCGCCCACCCACCCTCTATTTTCTTAGAGAGTATGTGATTTGCCAAAATTAGTTTTATCTTAACATGTACTAGGCCCGCCTACCCACCCTCTCTTTTCTTAAAGGGTATATGATTTGCCAAAATCACTCTTATCTTAGCAAGTACTAACAAAAAAAATTATAAATTAAAAAATTGCAAATCGAAAAATTGAAAAATCCAAAAAGTGGGAAATTTAAAAATTGGAAACTCGAGAAATTGCAAAGAGAAAAATTGCAAAATCTGAAAACTGAAACATCCAAAAATTGGAAAATAGAAGAACTGAAAAATTTAAAAATGCAAACTTGAAGAGTTGCATATCTTAAAAATTGAAAAATTGAAACGGGAAAATGAAAAAACAAAAAAATTACACCGAAACACTGAAAAATCGAATTAGTGAAAAGATAACGAAAATAAAAAACCGAAAAATTGCAAAATATAAAAATTGAAAAAATCAAAAGTTAGAAAATTGAAAATTTTAAACTTCAAAACTCGAAAAATTGCAAATCAAAAAACTGAAGGAAAAAAAGAAAAATTGAAGAATTGAAAAATTCAAGCAAAAAATCGAGGCGAGGGAAGTTCTGTCGAAATAATCTTGGACCAATTTTTTCTTTTCGCTCTTTATTTTCTTAGAAAATATGTTATTTACCCCGCCTACCCTCCCTCTATTTTATTAGAAGGTATTTCATTTGCCACAATCAGTTTTATCTTATTAAGTACTAGCCCCGCCCACACACGCTACTCTCATTCTAACGATTTTATTTCTGTTCAATTGAGATCCACCCTTCATTCGGACGAGATAAATAAAATGAATAACTGAAATAGAGGCGGGGTGGGTGGGCGGGGTTAATTGTATGTTCTTTGGTAGAGTGCGAATGGGAACTAATAGAACGTAAGTTGTCAAAAGAAGCGCTAATCGTAATTTTTTTATATACTATTTACTATAAGATTTTTTTCTTATTTCAGAAGAAAAAAATTAGAGAACGGGTGGGTGGGCGGGGCTAAGTTTTACTTTTTTCTACAGAATCTTTTATAAGCAAGCAATAGCCCCGCCTACCCACCCCCTCTTCATTCCAGTGATTAACTCTAAATATTGTTCAGTTCTATCTTAGCACGTTTGAGCCCCACTCATTGACCCTTTATTTTCTTATAGAATTTCATTTGCCAAAATCGGCCTTATCTTAGCAAGCACTAGCCCCGCCCACTCGCCCTCTATTTTATTAGAAGGTACGTCATTTGCCAAAATCAGTTTTACCTAAGAAAGTATTAGCCCCGCCCACCCACCCTCTCTATTCTTTGGAGGTATGTCATTTATCAAACTCAGTCTTATCTTAGCAGGTACTTAAAATTCAAAAATCGAAAAATTGAATAATTAAAAATTGAAAACTTGTGAAAATCTTTCTTCAGAGCTAATAAAAATGAATGCCGAAAACAGAATAATGGTGGGTGAGCCCCTTTTTACTTTGTTTTAAATCTTAGATTCTACTGCGTGTTAAAATAAATTTCAATTCACATTTAACAATAAACAAAATAAGTCAGTGAAATGGAAACAAGAAATGGAAATGAGTTTAGGTTTTTCTAAAGAGTTATATAACCAAGCAGTAGCCCCGCCCACCGACCCCCTCTTCATTCCAGTGACTACTCTTAATATTATCCAGTCTTATCTTGGCAAGTACTAGCCCGCCCACCCACCCTCTATTTTCTTAGAGAGTATGTGATTTGCCAAAATTAGTTTTATCTTAACATGTACTAGGCCCGCCCACCCATCTTCTCTTTTCTTAAAGGGTATATGATTTGCCAAAATCAGTCTTATCTTAACAAGTACTAACAAAAAAAAATTATAACTTAAAAAATTGCAAATCGAAAAATTGAAAAATCCAAAAAGTGAGAAATTTAAAAATTGGAAACTCGAGAAATTGCAAAGAGAAAAATTATGAAAACTGAAACATTCAAAAATTGGAAAATAGAAGAACTGAAAATTTTAAAAATGCGAACTTGAAGAGTTGCATATCTTAAAAATTGAAAAATTGAAACGGGAAAATGAAAAAATTAACACTGAAAAAACAAAAAAATTACACCGAAACACTGAAAAATCGAATTAGTGAAAAGATAACGAAAATAAAAAACCGAAAAATTGCAAAATATAAAAATTGAAGAAATCAAAAGTTGGAAAATTGAAAATTTTAAACTTCAAAACTCGAAAAATTGCAAATCGAAAAACTGTAGGAAAAAAAAGAAAAATTGAAGAATTGAAAAATTCAAGCAAAAAATCGAGGCGAGGGAAGTTCTGTCGAAATAATCTTCGATCAATTTTTTCTTTTCACACTTTATTTTCTTAGAAAATATGTTATTTACCCCGCCTACCCTCCCTCTATTTTATTAGAAGGTATTTCATTTGCCACAATCAGTCTTATCTTATTAAGTACTAGCCCCGCCCACACACGCTACTCTCATTCTAACGATTTTATTTCTATTCAATTGAAATCCACCTTTCATTCGGACGATAAATAAAACGAATAACTGAAATAGAGGCGGGGTGGGTGGGCGGGGTTAATTGTATGTTTTTTGGTAGAGTGCGAATGGGAACTAATAGAACGTAAGTTGTCAAAAGAAGCGCTAATCTAATTTTTTTATATACTATTTACTATAAGATTTTTTTCTTATTTCAGAAGAAAAAAATTAGAGAACGGGTGGGTGGGCGGGGCTAAGTTTTACTTTTTTCTACAGAATCTTTTATAAGCAAGCAATAGCGCCGCCTACCCACCCCCTCTTCATTCCAGTGATTAACTCTAAATATCGTTCAGTTCGATCTTGGCACGTTTGAGCCCAACTCATTGACCTTTTATTTTCTTAGAGAATGTCATTTGCCAAAATCTGTCTTACCTTAAAAAGTATTAGCCCCGCCCACCCACCCTCTCTATTCTTCGGAGGTGTGTCATTTATCAAACTCAGTCTTATCTTAGCAGGTACTTAAAATTCAAAAATCGAAAAACTGAATAATTAAAAATTGAAAACTTGTGAAATTCTTTCTTCAGAGCTAATAAAAATGAATGACGAAAACAGAATAAGGGTGGGTGAGCCCCTTTTTACTTTGTTTTAAATCCTAGATTCTACCGCGTGTTAAAATAGATTTCAATTCACATTTTACAATAAACAAAATAAGTCAGCGAAATGGAAACAAGAAGTGTTTCTAAAGAGTTTTATAAGCAAGCAGTAGCCCCGCCCACCGACCCCCCTCTTCATTCCAGTGACTACTCTTAAAAGTTATTTAGTCTCATCTTGGCAAGTACTAGCCCCCCCACCAGCCCTCTATTTTCTTAGAGAGTATGTAATTTGCCAAAATTAGTTTTATCTTAACATGTACTAGGCCCGCCCACCCACCCTCTCTTTTCTTAAAGGGTATATGATTTGCCAAAATCAGTCTTATCTTAGCAAGTACTAACAAAAAAAATTATAAATTAAAAAATTGCAAATCGAAAAATTGAAAAATCCAAAAAGTGGGAAATTTAAAAATTGGAAACTCGAGAAATTGCAAAGAGAAAAATTATGAAAACTGAAACATCCAAAAATTGGAAAATAGAAGAACTGAAAAATTAAAAAATGCAAACTTGAAGAGTTGCATATCTTAAAAATTGAAAAATTGAAACGGGAAAATGAAAAAATTAACACTGAAAAAACAAAAAAATTACACCGAAACACAGAAAAATCGAATTAGTGAAAAGATAACGAAAATCAAAAACCGAAAAATTGCAAAATATAAAAATTGGAAAAATCAAAAGTTAGAAAATTGAAAATTTTAAACTTCAAAACTCGAAAAATTGCAAATCGAAAAACTGGAGAAAAAAAAATTGAAGAATTGAAAAATTCAAGCAAAAAATCGAGGCGAGGGAAGTTCTGTCGAAATAATCTTCGACCAATGTTTTCTTTTCACTCTTTATTTTCTTAGAAAATATGTTATTTACCCCGCCTACCCTCCCTCTATTTTATTAGAAGGTATTTCATTTGCCACAATCAGTCTTATCTTATTAAGTACTAGCCCCGCCCACACACGCTACTCTCATTCTAACGATTTTATTTCTGTTCAATTGAGATCCACCCTTCATTCGGACGAGATAAATAAAATGAATAACTGAAATAGAGGCGGGGTGGGTGGGCGGGGTTAATTATATGTTCTTTGGTAGAGTACGAATGGGAACTAATAGAACGTAAGTTGTCAAAAAAGCGCTAACCGTAATTTTTTTAATATACTATTTACTATAAGATTTTTTTCTTATTTCAGAAGAAAAAAATTAGAGAACGGGTGGGTGGGCGGGGATAAGTTTTACTTTTTTCTACAGAATCTTTTATAAGCAAGCAATAGCCCCGCCTACCCACCCCCTCTTCATTTCCGTGATTAACTCTAAATATTGTTCAGTTCTGTCTTAGCACGTTTGAGCCCCGCTCATTGACCCTTTATTTTCTTAGAGAATGTCATTTGCCAAAATCAGCCTTATCTTAGCAATTACTAGCCCCGCCCACCCGCCCTCTACTTTGTTAGAAGGTATGTCATTTGCCAAAATCAGTCTTACCTTAGAAAGTATTAGCCCCGCCCACCCACCCTCTCTATTCTTCAGAGGTATGTCATCTATCAAACTCAGTCTTATCTTAGCAGGTACTTAACATTCAAAAATCGAAAAATTGAATAATAAAAAATTGAAAATTTGTGAAATTCTTTTTTCAGAGCTAATAAAAATGAATGATGAAAACAGAATAAGGGTGGGTGAGTCCCGTTTTACTTTGTTTTAAATCTTAGATTCTACCGCGTGTTAAAATAGATTTCAATTCACATTTTACAATAAACAAAATAAGTCAGTGAAATGGAAACAAGAAGTGTTTCTAAAGAGTTTTATAAGCAAGCAGTAGCCCCGCCCACCGACCCCCTCTTCATTCCAGTGACTACTCTTAATATTATTCAGTCTTATCTTGGCAAGTACTAGCCCGCCCACCCACCCTCTATTTTCTTAGGGAGTATGTGATTTGCCAAAATTAGTTTTATCTTAACATGTACTAGGCCCGCCCACCCACCCTCTCTTTTCTTAAAGGGTATATGATTTGCCAAAATCAGTCTTATCTTAGCAAGTACTAACATAAAAATTATAAATTGAAAAATTGCAAATCGAAAAATTGAAAAATCCAAAAAGTGAAAAATTTAAAATTGAAAACTCGAGAAATTGCAAATAGAAAAATTGCAAAATCTGAAAACTGAAACATCCAAAAATTGGAAAATAGAAGAATTGAAAAATTTAAAAATGCAAACTTGAAGAGTTGCATATCTTAAAAATTGAAAAATTGAAACGGGAAAATGAAAAAATTAACACTGAAAAAACAAAAAAATTACACCGAAACACTGAAAAATCGAATTAGTGAAAAGATAACGAAAATAAAAAACCGAAAAATTGCAAAATATAAAAATTGAAAAAATCAAAAGTTGGAAAATAGAAAATTTTAAACTTCAAAACTCGAAAAATTGCAAATCGAAAAACTGAAGAAAAAAAAAGAAAAATTGAAGAATTGAAAAATTCAAGCAAAAAATCGAGGAGAGGGAAGTTCTGTCGAAATAATCTTCGACCAATTTTTTCTTTTCACACTTTATTTTCTTAGAAAATATGTTATTTACCCCGCCTACCCTCCCTCTATTTTATTAGAAGGTATTTCATTTGCCACAATCAGTCTTATCTTATTAAGTACTAGCCCCGCCCACACACGCTACTCTCATTCTAACGATTTTATTTCTGTTCAATTGAGATCCACCTTTCATTCGGACGAGATAAATAAAATGAATAACTGAAATGGAGGTGGGGTGGGTGGGCGGGGTTAATTATATGTTCTTTGGTAGAGTACGAATGGGAACTAATAGAACGTAAGTTGTCAAAAAAGCGCTAATCGTAATTTTTTTAATATACTATTTACTATAAGATTTTTTTCTTATTTCAGAAGAAAAAAATTAGAGAACGGGTGGGTGAGCGGGGCTAAGTTTTACTTTTTTCTACAGAATCTTTTATAAGCAAGCAATAGCCCCGCCCACCGACCCCCCACTTCATTCCAGTAACTACTCTTAATATTATTCAGTCTTATCTTGGCACCCTCTATTTTTTTAGAGAGTATGTGATTTGCCAAAATTAGTTTTATCTTAACATATACTAGGCCCGCCCACCCACCCTCTCTTTTCTTAAAGGGTATATGATTTGCCAAAATCAGTCTTATCTTAGCAAGTACTAACAAAAAAAAATTATAAATTGAAAAATTGAAAAATCCAAAAAGTGAGAAATTTAAAAATTGGAAACTCCAGAAATTGCAAAAAGGAAAATTGAAACGGGAAAATGAAGAAATTAACATTGAAAAAACAAAAAAATTACATCGAAACACTGAAAAATCGAATTAGTGGAAAGATAACGAAAATAAAAAAAGTCAAATCAAAAGTTGGAAATTTGAAAATTTTAAACTTCAAAACTCGAAAAATTGCAAATCGAAAAACTGAAGAAAAAAAAAAAGAAAAATTGAAGAATTGAAAAATTCAAGCAAAAAATCGAGGCGATGGAAGTTCTGTCGAAATAATCTTGAACCAATTTTTTCTTTTCACTCTTTGTTTTCTTAGAAAATATGTTATTTACCCCGCCTACCCTCCCTCTATTTTATTAGAAGGTATGTCATTTGCCACAATCAGTCTTACCTTAGCAAGTAGACACTTCGCTGTGAGAGGAGTGTCCGAAAATAATGAACACATAAGTAATAACCCAAAATCAGCATAAAGTCCCCTTTCCCTTTCGTATTCACGATGAATTTCTCCACGCCTAAAAAATTTAAAAGACATGTGATGAGTGCTTTTTGATTTTAACCTACAGATTGACGTTGATTTCCAGTTTATCAAAACCAAACAAGCTATTTCCTACGGTACGACCGATTTTAGCAAATGATATACCCTCTAAGAAAATAAAGGGCGGGTGGGCGGGGCTAGTACTTGTAAAGATAAGACTGATTTTGGCAAATTATACACCCTTTATATGTTTTACTTTAAAAACAATGATAGTAAAAATCAGACATCTATATCATTGTATTACTGGTTGCATAGCCGAACAGTTTCTCGTGAATGATCCTGCATTGAATATTGCAAGTTACTTTTTTAAAATGCCCAAATGAGAATCTGTTTAATTTAAATTATAACTTAGGAAAAACCATCCATCCATTATGACATATCACAATTTAAATGTTATAAAATATTGCATATCTTGTCCTTTCGCTACCACTGAGTGAATGAATCTGAAAATCGAGTTGTGAAGCGAAAGCTCCCCTCTACTCATGAAAGCATGCGAACCGTCTACTTTACTGTTTTTTTTTTTTTGGTGCTAAATTTAATTTGAACCGGAACACTAAATACAAAGAATTGTAGAAAAACAAGGCGACCACAAACGATTATCTAAAATAAGAAATAAGAACAGAACAAAAATGTGAAGAAAGGAAAAGGCAGCAGCAAAGAGGCATATTTTTGTATCTTTTGCATATTTTCACATATTTTGACAATTTTAGATTTTCAAAGCACAACGCGAACTTTTTATTGCAAGTGTCAGCGTTTTTAACTTCCAAAGGTCGAAATCTACAAGACAATGTCTTTGGCTAAATTTCGAAAATTGTCAAAAAAGAATCGGAAATTTCAAAATAGGGTGTATTGAAAAATTCAGTTTTTGAAAAACTTGCTTAAAAAATCCCAAACAATTCTGAGATTATGCTTATCATATTTAAACATTATAAGTGATATTAATTATGTTTAAAATTGATTAATTTATATCGTGAAAATGTATAGGTTTGATCAACCGACTTCAATCGTTTCGAAAATTTTCCCAAAATTTAAACATTGTCGAGTGAACGAATCACGGAAGCCGATAAATTAAAACTGAAGTCGTACTTACCCTGTTTTCGGTTCTTTTCGGAAAAATATCTATCTTTGTTCGTGTTCACAGTACTATTAAAACACATTTTCACTAATATTTATTAATAATAAATTAGAAATTCGTGAAAAGAGCCCTCTTTAAAGCCAAAATGGACTCTGATGTGACCTTTTATCAGGTAGTTCACGTGACAGTGACGTCATCGTACGTCACGATGAGATTGCAAAAATTATTTTTCATATTTTCGCTCAGAAATTGTACATTTTCGGGGTTAATTTGACAATGTTTAAAGAAACTAATTTGTTTTTGCTAACCTCGTGTTCTTCGGGAAATGGTTTTCGGTTTAATTATCACATATTAATAGTTATCATATTTAAACATTATGAGATGACGTCATCAAGTTTTTGGGCTTGATAAACAGATATATTTTGATTAAAAACGTACCATGTCAAACAGTAACTTCAAAACGTCTGCAATATTTCAAAATTCAGTTTTGCAATTCTTGATTCAATCAATAAAATAAATTGACTCAGTGATTAATTTTTTTGAGACATTCCCTATAAGCAATACTAAAAAATATGAATGGAATGATAAATCACAAGTATAGTCTCATCCTATTTTGCACATTTTAAAAAGGATTCATTTGGCAAAATTTTGGGCTGACGTCATCAATTTTTTGGAGGAAGTAAATATTATTTTGAATAAAAATTTATTATGCTTATCATATGTTTAAAACATCTGCAAGATTTCAAAGCATTCGGTTTTGCAGATTCAAAATTAAATTGTAGGAGAAACGAAGTTCACGGGGTCAGCTAGTATTTTTATAAAAATTTTGCATATTTTCTGCATATATATGCACATATTTTGGCCAAATTTCGTGTATAAAATTCCGGACTCTATGATTAGAATAGAGCAAGAAGCGTGGGCCTACATTAATAAAGAAAAAAAGAAAGAAAGAAAGAAAGAAAGAAAGAAAGAAAGAAAGAAAGAAAAAGACAGCAGTGTGAGTATGAAGGGATGAGAGAAATTGAGATGTAATTAAATGTGTGAAAGTGAAGACGATGGTAAATTAAAATAAAGAAGAGAAACCCAGGTTGTATTGACAGGTTCGTACGCCACTGCTTTGACATTTAATAAAATTAAATAAATAAATAAAATTTCTACAATTACTTGCAGCTCTGCATTACTTGCACAATTTTTTCACCAACATATTATTTTTAGCCAAAAAAAGTATTTCTCAATTAGTTTGAAAAACAAAAATATATGGGACGACAACCGTTATGGATTTCGCCGCCTTTCACATATTTAAAAGAAAAATTAAAAACGTGCAACAATACATTTCCAGTGACGATTTTTAACCAACCCTATTTTAATCTAGCAATAAAACCAGTTTTTTCTCTAAAGAAAACTATTTTTAACTCCGCCACCCCTCCCTAATTCGTGACAATAACCGTTATGGATTCCGCCTCATCCATAGGCGTGCGCATCCGTCTCCCGTCACTCAAACACGAGACGTGTGTACGTGCTCCCGACCCCTCGAATATCGGTTTTTTGTAATCAGTTCTTCGAAATATCTCGCGCCATAGAGTCGCTTTTCGCACATCCCGCCTCCTAACCGTCAAACTGTCACTAAAAAATGCTGAGAAAACGTCCGAAGTTTCTGTAGATCGAGCGACTTCATTCGCGAATTTCAACTAAAATGTAACACCGTACTTAACATAACCACAAACCCAATCACAATGGCAACCCTGTACAAGAAGGCCTGGAAGCTGCGTAAGCCCCCTTATCCTCCAAAAAACAAGGTTATATTTTTTTGTTGTAGAGGAGCTGATGGCCCACGACGCAAACGTCAACTGCTTGGCTCTGGGGCACAAATCCGGCCGCGTTATGGTCACAGGAGGCGACGACAAGAAGGTGAATTTGTGGGCAATCGGGAAACACAGCTGCTTCATGAGTCTCAGTGGCCACACAACCCCCATTGAGTGTGTCCAGTTCAACCAATTCGAGGAGCTGGTGTGCGCCGGCTCGCGCGCTGGGGCTCTCAAAGTCTGGGACCTGGAGGCCGCGAAGCTCGTGCGGACCCTCAACGGCCACAAGAACGCAATCAAGTGCATGGATTTTCACCCGTACGGGGACTTTCTGGCGTCCGGGGGGTCCGACAGCACGATTAAAATGTGGGACAGTCGGAAGAAAGGGTGCATTTTCACCTACAATGGCCACAAAGCCACCATCAATAGCTTGAAATTCAGTCCAGATGGGCACTGGATCGCGTCTGGGAGTGACGACTCCACGGTGAAAATCTGGGATTTGCGGGTGGGTAGGGTGTTGAAGGATTTCGGGGACCACTTGAATTCGGTGACGTGTGTGGAGTTTCACCCGCACGAGTTTTTGTTGGCGTCGGGGAGTGCCGATAGGTCTGTGCAGTTGTTCGACTTGGAGAATTTCACGGTGGTGACGAGTGAGAGGGATTTGGGGTTGGTGCGGTGTCTCTGCTTCAACCCGGATGGAGAGCGGCTGTTCGTGGGGGTGCGAGACTACTTGAAAGTTGTGGGGTGGGAGCCGAATCGGCTGTTTGATTCTGTGTGCGTGAATTGGGGCAGGGTTAGTGATATCTCCATCGCCCAGAATCAGCTGGTGAGTATTTTAAATTGAATTCGAATCGAGCTTTTACGTGAATCAGCTGGCATTAAAATATGCTTTACAGTTACCTCAGAGGTAATTTGTTAATTTAATTTGCAATTTATATGTGTGAAGAGCCAGCTGGGTGTTGTGGGTTATATAAAAGTGAGATTTTTTATGGATGATGGTACCCTGATGGTCAAAATCGATGTTGTTCTTCAAGGCCGCGAAAGGCCTTTCTCTTCGTGGCGACTTTCGCTATACGCTATGTGTGGTGGAAAAGTACTATTCTATTGCATGACTTTGCTAATGACTTGTTTCCATATGAGTTGATGCCGATATTTAAGCTGCATAATGAGATACGGGGGCGCGTTGATGTGCTCTATTTGGTGGCATTTATGGATTCTTTATGTATGGAACGAAATTGAAATAATTGCGTTTAAATGGATGAGGTCTTATTTAGTACGACTGAAAATTACTACGTTCCGCTGTTATTATTATTATTCTTATTATTATATTTTTATGACAGCACAAACGTTTACTACGTCTGGCGAAAGTCGCATAGTACGTCTCACTTCCATGCAGCGCAAGGTCGTTTTTAAATTCACGAAATTAAAGAACCAGAACTGTATGTATACTTAAATAAAATAAAATAAAACAAATATTTGTTAGAAAAATAATAAAATTTTATTTATTTTATAGATAATACAATAGAAAAAACTTGCCCACGAGGTATTTATGTATGAGCCAGATCTCGGCTACCTGAAACACGTGAAAAATATCACAAAAAAATTGTTAAGTAATTGCGATAAAAACGTAAAATGATAACTACAATGTGTCTATGTAGTTATCACTTTACGTTTTACTCGATATTCTCAAATCACATATAAATAAAATTTGACAACAATCGGTTCAGTAGTTTTGGATAGTCTAGTAAAAATATACACAGAGAGATAAAGTTGTGTTGATTTTTTTTAATCACGACTTTTATTTTTTAGTTTTTTAATTATCTAGAATTATAACTCACAAAGTAGCAAGAAAAATTAAAAGTCCGGCCTTTCATTAAGCGTCTAAATATTTTATTGAGTTATTTTAATGTTATATGTTTACATAGTTTAATTAAATGTTTTTCATTAAGGTTTTGTAATACCTGTTTTTCAAATAAAAAACACAATTTTGATTTTGAAAATTCAATTTTTTTATGATAAATCCTATAAATTAAATAAATCGAGGCGGATTCATAAATCGTGCGTACAGGATATAACAATAAAATTTAAATATTGACTAGGCAACATTTTGGGGTGATGAAATTGTTGATGGGGATAATCAGACAAATTTTGGTTAGCGTTTTATTATCTACAGTCGCACGATATTCCTAAAATTTGGCAACAATCGGTCCAGTAGTTTCGGATAATCTATTGAAAATCGACACAGACAGAGGCCGACGAAAAATTTAAAATTAGGAAAAATCCAGCAAGTAAAAAATAAAAAAAAAGGTCGAAAAATCTAAAAATTTCAAAATCGAAATCTTGAAAAATCCCAAAACTTAAACAGAAAAATTGAAAAATTGAGAAATTAAAAAATGAAAAATTCGGAAAATTAGAAAATCGATTAATCAGAAACTGAAAAATCTAAAAATTAGAAACGCCAAAACCTGAACAATTGAAAAATCGAAAATTTTAAATACATAAATCCCAAAAGTCGAATGATCGAAAAACGGAGATATCGAAATAGCTAAAGATCGAAAATTGGAAAAATTCAAAATTGACAAAATTAATTCCGAAAAATCTAAAAATTACAAGGCAAAAAATTAAAAGACTGAAAAATCGAAACAAAAAAATGAAAAATCCAAAATTTAAAAATCCGAAAAATTGAAAATTTACAAAATTGAAAAATCAAAACATAAACGAATCGAAAAATGTAAGATTTAGAAAGTCACAAAATTTTCACAAATCGAATATGTTAAACATCAAAAAAAAGTCGAAAAATCTAAAAATTTAAAAATCGAAATACATACATACTGAAAAATCCCAAAACTTACACATTGAATATTTGAGAAATCGAAAAGACGAAATATTGAAAAGTCGAAAAAGAAAAATCCAAAAATCTAGAAACGCCAAAAATCGACAAATTGAAAAATCGCGAAATCGAAACATCAAAAGATCGAGAAGTCGAAAAATCGAAAAATTGAGAAACGGAAGTGGCTAAACATCGAAAAATGGGAAACTTCAAAATTAAAAAATTGGAACTTGAAAAAGCGATAAACCGAGAAAGTGAAAAATCGAAACATCGAAAAACTGAAAAATTAATTCCGAAAAATAGAAAAACGGAAAAATTTAGAAACGAGAAGGCGAAAAGTCGAAAGAAAATTGTTACTAAATCGGAAATTGAAAAATTAAAATACATATCGGAAAAATGAAAAATTAATTCTTAAAAATTGAAAAATCGAAAAAGCTAAAAATGAGAAGGCAAAAATTCAGAAAGATTGAGAAATCGAAACAATAAAAAAATGAAGAAACTAGAATTTTAAAAATTCGAAAAATTGAAAATTTACAAAATTGAAAAATCAAAACATCAACGAATCAAAAAATCAAAAAACAAAGTCAAAAGATTGAAATACAGGTTGAAAAATCCCAAAACTTAAACATTGAAAATTTGAGAAATCGAAAAACTGAGACATCGAGAAATCGGAAAGACGAAAAACCGAAAAGTCGAAATATGTAAAAATTAATTAATCGAGAAATTGAAAAATTGAGAAATTAAAAAATGAAAAATTCGGAAAATTAAAAAATCGATTTATCGAGAAACTGAAAATGGAAAAATTTAGAAACACCAAAAACTGAACAATTGAAAAATCGAAAATTTTAAATACATAAATCCCAAAACTCTAATAATCGAAAAACTGAAAAATCGAGAAAAATGGAAATCGAAAAATTGAAAAATCGAAAAACTGAGATCGAAATAGCTAAAGATCCAAAAATGGGAAAATTCAAATTTAAAAAATTGAAACTTGAAAATCCGATAAACCGAGAAAGTGAAAAATCGAAATATCGAAAAACTGAAAAATTTGTTCCGAAAAATTGAAAAACGGAAAAATCTAACAACGAGAAGGCAAAAATTCGAAAGATTGAGAAATCGAAACAACAAAAAATGAAAAAACTAAAATTTTAGAAATTCGAAAAATTGAAAATGTACAAAATTGAAAAATCAAAACATCAACGAATCGAAAAATCAAAAACAGCCGAAAAATCGAAATACAGATTGAAAAATCCCAAAAAACGTTGAAAATTTGAGAAATCGAAAAATTGAGACATCGAGAAATCGGAAAGACGAAAAATCGAAAAGTCGAAATATTTAAAAATCAATTAATCGAGAAATTGAAAAATCGAAAAATTGAGATATCGAAATAGCTAATGATGGGAAAAGGGAAACATTCAAAATTGAAAAATTAATTCCCAAAAATCTAGAAACGTCAAAAATTGAAAAATCAAAAAATTTAAATACACAAATCTCAAAACAGAAACGTTGAAACATTGGAAAATCGAACAATCGAGAAATTGAAATCGAAAAATTGAGAAACGCAAGTGGCTAAACATCGAAAAATGGGAAAACTCAGGATTAAAAAATTGGAACTTAAAAAACCGATAAACCGAAAAAGTGAAAAATCGAAACATCGAAAAACTGAACAATTAATTCCGAAAAATTGAAAAACGGAAAAATTTTAAAAACGAGAAGGCGAAAAATCGAAAGAAAATTGTTACTAAATCGGAAATTGAAAAATTAAAATATCGAAAAACTGAAAAATGAATTCTTAAAAATTGAAAAACCGAAAAATCTAAAAACGACAAGGCAAAAATTCGAAAAATTGAAAATTTACAAAATTGAAAAATCAAAACTTAACGAGTCGAAAAATCAAAAAACAAAGTCAAAAAATCTCAATACAAATTGAAAAATCCCAAAACAAACATTGAGAATTTGAGAAATCGAAAAATTGAGACATCGAGAAATCGGAAAGACGAAAAATCGAAAAGTCGAAATATTAAAAAATCGATTAATCGAGAAATTGAAAAATCGAAATATCGAAATAGTTAAAGATCGAAAAATGGAAAAATTCTAAATTGAAAAATTGATTCCAAAGAATCTAAAAATGAGACGGCAAAAAATCGAAAGACCGAAAAATCGAAAGAACAAAAAAAAATGAAAAATTTAAAATTTAAAAGTTCGGAAAATTGAAAATTTACAAGATTGAAAACCCAAAACATCAACGAATCGAAAAATCAAAAAATTGAAACATGGAAAAATGTAAGATTTTAAAAAGTCGCAAAATTTTGACAATATATTAAAAATCAAGACAAAGTCGAAAAATGTAAAAGTTTCAAAATTTAAACATTGAAAATTTGAGAAATCGAAACATTGAGAAATCGAGAAATCGAAAAATCCAAAAATCTAGAAACGCCAAAAATTGTAAAACTGAAGAAGAATCGAAAAGTTTAAATACACAAATCCCAAAACTGAAACGTTGAAAAATTGAAAAATCGAAAAATTGAAAAATTGCGAAATCGAAACATCAAAAGATCGAGAAGTCAAAAAATCGAAAAATTGAGAAACGAAAGTGGCAAAAAATTGGAACTTAAAAACCGATATACCGAAAAAGTGAAAAATCGAAACATCGAAAAACTGAAAAATTAATTCCGAAAAGTGGAAAAACGAGAAGGCGAGAAATCGAAAGAAATTTGTTACTAAATCGGAAATTGAAAAATTGAAATATCGGAAAACTGAAAAATTAATTCTTAAAAATTGAAAAATCGAAAAAGCAAAAAACAAGAAGACAAAGATTGGAAAGATTGAGAAATAGAAACAACAAAAAATGAAAAAACTAAAATTTAAAAATTCGAAAAATTGAAAATTTACAAAATTGAAAAATCAAAACATCAAAGAATCGAAAAATCAAAAAGACAAAGCCGAAAAATCGAAATACAGATGAAAAATCCCAAAACGTAAACATTGAAAATTTG